CGAACCAGCTGTCTTTCGCTCCGTCAACATCCTCTTCCTCACTGCCATTGTTCCGTTATTGGTGTTTGTGTTAAATATATATATATGTATATAAGTATATATGTATATATATATATACATATATATATGTTATATATATCATAGTAGGACGGAGCACCACACAGATCAGTTATTTTGGTAATTTCCAGTATCACAAATTTTCACCAAAATTTAGTAGTATACGTTTTGAGTGAATAAGTGGTAAAGGTAATGAAAACAGCAATAATAATAAAATGGCAGCGCGCACCAGAATAGCCGGTGCGATTATGCGTTTAGTGCAGTGCCCTTCACCGAACAATTGTTTGTTAATGTTGAAAAATAGTTAAAAATTTCACTCATCGGTACGTAAAAGCTGAATTTGAAACCTCAAAGGGTGAATGTCCTTCCGAATTTCCAACCTCCTAATTTTCTGGCTTTCAAATGATCTTTAAGACGAAACCTTCATGTTGTACGTGAGACCTCGGCATACTTAAGAGTTGAATTCGAGTTTGTGAAGCCAGTGCTTAGGTAGGAAACATCCTCCTGAAATTTTCAGTCCCCTAATTTTTCTGGCTCCCGAGTTAATGATCTTCTTTGCCAAAACTTCCACGATGACGTTGAAAATTTGCGGAGTTATGCGTGGGCAGGAGATGCTTTACTATCTTTTGCAATTCATGAGAATTTATCTGCCAGAACTTTCACGGGACTACACGTAGAATCCGGGTGTGCGCGAAGCCGAATTCATATTTACGGGGTCGTACGTTGGTAGGGGACATCGCCCTGAAATTTCAGTTTCCCAACTTTTGTGATTCCTGAGATAATAATTTTCCTCGCCGAAACTTTCACGGAGCCGTAAATGATACCGGGGCGCGCGGGAAGGAATTGAATTTAAATTTTAGGGGATTGTTTGCGGTCAGGGCACACTGCCGCAAAATTCTAGCTTTTTAGCTCATATGGTTTCCGAGATAATAATTTACCCGGCAGGATTTTCACGGGGCCACATGTGATACCCGAGAGTTCGGGAACACTGAATTTGAATTTGCAAGGTCGTACGTGGGCTGGGGTTGATTACTTTAAGATTTCAGCTTCCCAAATCCCACGGTTCTCGAGATAATAATTTCCCCGCCAAAAATTTTACGGGGCCGCACATGTTGCTCATGGACAAGGGAAATCTGAGTTTAAATTTGCGACGTCACACGTGGGTGGGGAACATTCCCTTTAATTTTCAGTTTCGTGGCTTTTGTGATTCCCGAGTTGAAAGTTGCGGACAAGTTGGTGCGGACACACACACACACAAACACACACAGACAACTCCGTGACAATTTGCTTTTTGTACTGCTGTTACACAGTACAAAAGCATGATAATAACTGCAGTAATACAGAACTAAATAGTAACAACGGCAATATATTTAAAAACAGTCTTTGTCAACCTAAAATTAGAAGCAAAATTTTAGTAAAACTAAATTAAGTTTACGCTTGCAAAGGAATGTTTCGGTCCATTAAGTTATATGTAAAATGCCGGCGTGAACGTTCATTTTTGTAGTATGTTGTAGTTGGATGATGCCGTGGTGAGAAAGGCATTGGAATCGGGAGTCGATTTACGCCAGTATTCATCGGAGCTGCACGAACAGCTGCGCACCGCGCATTCGTTGGCTGTCAAGGATTGCATCGAACAAGCGGGAAAACTGGCTCAGCTGCACACCGAAATTACGGCTTGTGACGATGCTTTCGCTGTAGGTTTCTCAGTCGCCTCGTTTGGATGATTTGTTACTGCTAGCCCATCCGTCTATTTCAACAGTTTATAGGGTTTCTTTGAGGCTCGATCCATTTGCCCTGAAATGCGATATTGCCCTCACAGCACTTATGAATCTGAACACCGCAGACGATTCTTTTTTTGTGTGGCCTTGAACTTTATTTTTTTTGTGCCAGCAGGCTCAGTTGTAACCTGTCGAATGAGCTGACTATGTAGCTAAATCCGCGGGCTTTTCTGTTTTTCCTAGGAATTTTCTTAACTGAGAAAAAGCAGTCCGCTATTGTAGCACCATTATAATTTTGTAATCATGATCGAATCGGTTTCTTGACTTCTCTTTTCACGTCTCCTATATCATTTTTTATGCGATTTGTGCTGTGTAACAGCGTTACAAAACGCATATTGTCACAGGGTTGTCTCTGTGTTTGTGTGTGTGTGTGTCCCACATTTTGTCCCGCACTTTCAACTCGGGAGCCACAAAAGCTAGGCGGCTGAAATTTTGGTATAGTGTTCCCCGCCAACGGTTAACGCGGCAAATTTAAATTCAGCCTTCTCGCACTCGCGAGTAACACGTACGGCCCCGTGAAATTTTTTTACGGGTAAATTAATATCTCAGGAGGCTAGAATTTTAGGGTAATGACCCCCTGCCCATGCTCAGCCTTGCCCATTCAAATTCAGCCTTCCCGTACCCGCAGGTAACACTTACGGCCCCGTGAAATTTTTTTACGGGTAAATTAGTATCTAAGGAACCACGGAGTCCAGGAAATTTTGGGGTGAC